GATGTTTAATCCATTTATAAAATCGATGCACTTTATATCGAATAATTGAATAATAAAGTCGGTCAATTCATTATTAACAAGCAAAACGGATTAATATTCAATATGAGTAAACCTATATGCTTGATGATAAATGCTTCTTAATTAAGTAACTTTAAAACTAATTAATCAAACATATTATTTCAATTCATTTCCACTCTCCGTACTGAAGCCGTCTCCCATCCAACGGCCCAGATTTCCTCAAAAAAGCCCACAAACCGCGTCCCCCTCTCTCCACCTATATACTTCCACATCCCCATGCATCCGCACATTTATTGGCTCCTCTCTACTAATTAAAGTGCATTTTCTTTAAAAAGCAAGTCCACCTATATACTACAGCTTTTTCACCGGAAAATTCACCGGCGATATAAAAATTCGTCTACGATTCGAACGGGAGGATTCATGAAATCAAATAGCACGTGGTTTGATTCGCTGAAATTGTTCTTGATTTCAGCTGGAATTGTGTCTCTAGCTGTGGGTGTAAGATTCTTCGTTCCGGCAATTATACACGGCGTAGTTCATGAAATCCCGGCGCTTTGGTCCATCTTACTGTCGTGGCTCAAGCCACCTTATCTATATGTCATCATCAACGGAATAATCATCATCATCGCTGCTGCGTCTCGCTTCCACCACAGGGAATCTGAGCCGTCCGTTGAACCCGAGAATTTAATTTCAGTGAAAACGCCTCCGCCGTTGGAATTTGCCTCAATACCAACTCCGACTGAGATTAGCACTGTTGTGGAGGAACCTCCTGCGGCAGTGGAGACGGCTTTGGTTTGTGAGAGTGAAGATGGAGCTGTCGAGGTGAAGGACGTTGTGGTGAACGATTCTGAGGTTATGGAAAATGACGACGTTGCAGAAGCTGAAGATGAGGACGATTTTATTGTCTCCAATTCGACGTACAGTACTCCACCCCAGGGTACAATTTCTCCGCCGTTCCTCTTACCGATAAGGGAGAAACCTCTGGCTTCTTCTAGATTCGGTAATCACCGGAAAAATCTCAAATCCAGTCCCGAAGGTACGCCGAATTTAAACGGTTCTATATATTATTTTATTTTAAAATTAAAAATTACTACACAAAGCTTGACACCGTCGTTTCGAATATTCTTTGCCAGTTTTGCAAAGCAATTTCCTATTTACGCTTGGAAATATGACGTCGTCCAAAATTGAAGATTTTGGTTGAAGGCGGATTAGTTGATTATTTTGTCTCGTTTCGTTACAAAATTGAAAATTGATTTTTTATTTTTTATTTTTTTCAGGGACGAAGGCACTAAGGGTGGCGAGGCCAAAAACGCAAGAGACGCTAGAAAGCACGTGGAAAATGATAACGGAAGGACGCCCTGTACCATTGACGAGACAGTGGAAAAAGCAAGACACGTGGAAAGATCATGAGCAGGACATGACTGGGAACCATTCAAATCTCACGAACAAAAATCATGTAAATCATGACTCTCCCCGAGCTCCATTGAGTTCATATCCAAGTTTGAAAGTTCGGAAAGAGTTGTCGGTTGGTCACGAGGAGTTGAATCGCCGGGTTGAAGCCTTCATCAAGAAATTCAACGAGGAAATGAGGATGCAGAGACAGGAGTCACTGAATCAGTATATGGAAATGATTAATCGTGGTGTCTAGATATATTTATGAGTTTGAATTTAATATTGTGAATAGGTATTTTGAAAAGATTATTTTACTGTCCAAAAGACCAAAAAAAAAAAAAAAAAACAGATCTAAATAAATTAAGATAAGAGCTTCAATTTTGTTGAATTCGTTAGGTGGGCTTTGAGTTGGAATTGTGCTCAAAAGAGTATAGAAAAGGTCTGTGAAGGATTACAAAAGTAATTGGTCCTTTATTCTTCGTCAGTATGAAATGAATTTATGTGGTATTAATATTTTTTTAAAAAATTTGTTCTTTTTTCTTGGATTGAATTCTTTTAAGGGTGTTTTTGAAAGAAAGATTTAACAATTTTAAGAAGATCTATTTAAATTACGTGTTCAGTTATCGTATCAATTCTAACAAGTTTTGAATGGTTCGTCCAAAAATTTATGAACTCTTTACACAGAATGTGGTCATAATGACGAGATAAGTATTTTATTTATTTTTAATTATGATTGACAAGAAAATAATTATTTCAATATGTACTTATTAACTTATAAGTAAATTTTCTGTAATTATTATAATATGTACTTATATTAACTTATAAGTAAATTTTTATTATCTTGACACTCACAAGTAGCTCTTTTTTGGTTAAGTTTAAACATTTCTCCTTTGAGCAAGTTACTTGCAAGTAAACAAAAAGTTTTGGGTCCTATTTTGGAGGGATTCTCAAAATTCTACAGCAAATCAATTCTCATTTTCAATCATACATTTTTTAATAAAATAATATTTTTTCCTATCATATCATTATACAAAATCAATTCTTCCCCCAAAAATCTCTCCCAGACAAGCACTTAATATAAGTTTTTAAGGATTTTACTACATGTAACAAAAAAGAATAAATAATGTCACATGATACTCTATTATTTGTCAATTAAAAGTTAAAACACAGTCAACTTTTTCATCAAATCTTTTCATTCCACATTATTTTATGTAGTTTTTTTATGCACCTCACTGAGATCATATTGGCGTACTCTCCCAAAAAAAAAAAAAAAAAGAGCATATCTCGTTGAATATTATTTTTATATACAGGTAGCATTATTCAATTTTTAGGGCCCATTTGATTCTCAGATAATGAAAAATATAGTGGTTATTTGGCCACACACAAGAGATAGAAATTCAAAATTGATGGCTTGATGTGATAAATAACGATCATATTTTTCATTTTCATGGATGAATAATGAGAAACAAACGGAGGCTTAATAACAAACAAGTTACATATTTTCAGCAATAATAATTCATTTTTCAAAATAACATTTTTTCTTGTGAAAATAAAGAACTTCTCTTACTTATAACTTAAGAAAATATTAACCTATTTAAAAGTGTAGAAAGAAAGAGTTGCATGGACAATTAGACCATTTCATTGCTATCGTTAGATGTCTCGATGAATTAGATAAGAATTAATTATTTTATTATGCTCAATCAATCCCTTTAACGCGTAAGTTAACCTTAATTTGTTGAAGAATTTTTTTGTATTTAATTTAATTTTTCGTCTCGAGATTCCAAATGGACGGTGGATTAGGTTAGGCTTTGAGGTGATTAGCTTTCGGTCAGCGACGACGAGTTTGTTGTATTTTAAGCTGACCTTTCTTCCTTCCAAAACAAAACAAATCAGAAACATTCACGAAACTTGCAGCTATTTGTGAACTAACCTATACGTCTTTTTCCGATTGAAAATCCATATGTGTGCCGACTTGGTTTCAACGTTGACCAACTTACAGTGGACGACAATTACTTATAATGTCGTAAGTCGTAATTAGTTTATTTAAATATTCTAGCCTTTTTTTCGTTCAAAAAATGCAATCATTAACCTAGATAACAACCAATTGGAAGTTTACATGCAGTGAAATCTGGCAAACATTTTCTCGTGAAGTTTCTAGGAATATGACCTTTTCCACAAATTCGGTACTCATGATTACCTTTGTTGATAGGATGATGGCTAATGGTAAGAATAGTTAAGAGTATAAGTCCGTGTGTGATATGTGAGTGATATTAAATTATAAGTCTAATTAAATATATTGTTATGAGATTTATTTAATTAAATTTATTATATATTGACATCTGGATTGGTGTTTTTTACCGATAATATTAAATATCACTAAATGATAAGTGAATGTCAATCGGTAAAATTTAAATAGGATTCTTAATTACTCATGCAAGCTTTGGATTAGGGGGTGGTCGATAATCGGGGAGTGAGCGCAGAAGTTTAAAGTTAGGGAGTACAATCGAACTTACAAAGAAATTGAGAGAAATTTTAAAATCGAAAATTTACTTCTAAAAATCATACCTCATGTAATTTTGAATTCAAAAATTTACATGGGATATGATTTTTTCAAGTGTAAAATTTTGAAAAAAATTTATTTCATATTTCATATAAAATTT